TATTCTGGAGGTAAGAAAGACATTTGGACATAATTGGATCAGTAACCCCTCTGAGCCAAAGCATTTTGGGTAGCATTGTCCAATCAAGTCTTCAAAATCTCTATCTTTCAAAACATCAAAGATTTTCCTGCTCTGCTCTGATTGATTTAGGACAGGGGTCAGCAACCTTAAACACTCAAAGAGCCACAAAGGTCCTAACCGGAAGCCCCCATTCTATTATGGAGCTGACCAGAAGTCCAGTTCCCCCACCATAGAGTCTCCTCCTGGTGTAATGTCCTTTTTCCTCTGCCAACTGGAAGTCCGGTTCCCCCACCATAGATTCTCCTCTTAGCACAGCATCCTTTTTCCTTTTACCAACTGGCGACAGGGAGCCACAGCAGAGGGATGAAAGAGCCACCTGTGGCTCCAGAGCTGCGGGTTGCTGATTACTGATCTAGGAAAATCCTGATTATGGAACTCAGTCATGGAGATTACAACTGGCCTTTCCACTGCCATGTTTTAAATGACAACTGAAGCCATGCCTATTCACCTGTACTCTTATTGAGTTACAGCTGTTTTAAGAGCTACATCTTTTTAGAATGCTTTTGAAATGAACTTTGCTTTAAGGGTTATTTTCTAGTTGTTTAGTTTTTATTAAAGATTTTTTCCCCTTGTTTTTTGCACACCGTTCTGGGAGGACGTGTAAAATGAAAATAAATACATATATTATTGTCTGCATTAGGCTTTTGGGGGAAAAATGCAAGCAATATTTAGTAGGTTGGACTTTTTTCATCTACCCAATAATCTGACAGGGACTAGGGTTTCTTCAGAACCATATTTACCACAGAATATCGTTGTTAGCAATGTTATAACCTAGGTTATGATGCATAACCTAATTTTACTTGCTTTATTATCTAATAGTACTTTGTTTAACTTCACAAGAGTCTTGAAGGTTGGCTGTGTGTATAGTGAATATAAATGTTGATTACTACATTGAGGCCCTGATCCCATCAGGAAAAGCACTCACCTTCCATTATTCATGATACAATAGTCATCCCATTTCTAATGAAATGTGTGTACTTTCTCTACTTTCCCTAATAAGAATAGAGTGCAGCAGGAAAACAAAAAAGTTCAAATCCGCAACATACAGGCTCTGTTATAACATGAATTAATTTATTCTCTTATCAATAGGCAATCTAATTCACTGAAGTCTCTTCTCCCCCTGCTAAATTCAATTTAACCCTTCTCATATAAAATCAATTGCAATCAACCTGCCCTGCACCCCACAAGTAGGAACTTTAGTGTCTTGTTCAAGGAGCTTTCAAATATTTTGGTAATGGTCCAGTGCATTATTGATCATTTAATTTTTTTCTATTCTGCTCTGATTAGTTAATTGGCATTTTCTGCAACCCTCTTGGTTTGCAAATATATAAATATGCCAGTTTTAGTTTTGTAAATTATGCTTTGGACTGGAAAAAAGGAAAAGAGAGATTGGAAGCATTTTGACTTAAGTTTACCTGCATTGTAAAGCCCTGGGAAACAAAAATCCTTGTGATCTGGAAAAGACCATGTTTCCTGTAGAGCATTTTGCTAACCCTGGATTATATGCTGAAGAGAAAAAAAAATCAATCTGAGGCATCCTTGAATACAATCTGCTTGTTAATCTGTTTGGAAACTTTTGAATTGATAAAACAGCAGCCACAATGAAGAAGCAAGTATTATCTCTAATGAGTGTTGGCACAACCTTAAATGACATAACCACTGGATATGAAGACAGGGAATTAGAGCACTGCTTGAAACTATGGAAGAAATGGTTCTTAATCAGGCAGAGAAGTTGTTTCATGGCTGTCCCTTTGAGTGACTCTTGAAAAGAATGATGTGTCATATTGGTGTACATAGGCAAGAAACACCGAGGCTGGGGGAGAGATGACAGCTTAGCTTGTACACATCTCTTTTGAAAGGTCCCTGGATTTTTCTTTATTTCTTTGTTTTTTTTATGTAGCTTCAGTTCACTATTTTAAAAAGTGGGTTTATGGTACTTCAAAAATAAGAATTTGCAGTATCTTCCTTGCTGGGTTAAATCAGTTGGTATGAGATTGAGGGAGTACAGATAATCCATAGTTTAAGACCACAACTGAGCCCAACATTTCTTTTTGCTAAGCGAGGCAAGGATCAAGTGAGTTTTGCCCCAATTTACGATCTTCCTTGCTACAATTGTTAAGTGAATCACTGCAGTTGTTAAGTTAGTAACACGGTTGTTAAGTTGAATCGGGCTTCCCCATTGACTTTGCTTGTCAGAAGGTCACAAAAGGGACACTGCAATTGTCGTAAATGTGAATCAGTTGCCGACTGTCTGAATTTTGATCGTGTGACCAAGGGGATGCTGCAACGGTTGTAAGTCTGAAAAATGGTCATAAGTCACTTTTTTTCAGTGCCTTTGTAACTTCAAACGGTCATTAAAGCAATGATTGTAAGTCCAGGGCTACCTGTACTTCAAAGAATGAAAGCACTGTATATACCATCATGCCGCTTGCAGGATTGGAGCTGCCCCTGTGCATGCACAGCAGCCCATCACTCACACGGCCTGGTTACCCTTCCCACCCACCCCAGCGACCCACAAAGGTTGGAGACCACTGCATAGGCAATTCATTCACAATGAAGGCAGCTGATTGTGTGAAAGTCCAATTGCTTTTGGTCGTTAATTCCATATACCTTGTGACTTGGCTAAACATTGTGGCTATTATGTGGCATTATATAGGCAGCACTGCTGGTTTGGCCCTTTTACTGCATTTGGAAATTCTGAAACTTTTAATGAAAGAATGTTTTGTTGTTGTTATCAGTTATTTCTACACAGTTGATTTATAGCATCTAATTGAATAATCCAAACATCATTGTTGCAATATATTAATAATGAAGACTGACTTCTGGACAGTTGACTCCATAAGATGCTATAAATCAGGAAACTGGAAATGGCTAATAGTTGTAAGGATATGTTCAGTTTGTTATGGGCACTTCCTATTCTCTCCTTCTTGCTTGTTCTCTCAGGATGATAAATTATTTCTTAGAATGCCAAGCAATGACTGTCTGTGTCTTGTTATAACAACTCTTACAATTTATAGCTTTGTCACATCTTGAATCTAATTGAATTTGCCTTCAACCAAGTGAATATTATTAAGCAAATGTCCAGGGATATTATGCATTTGAAAAATATAACAGTACACATAACTGCTGATCCTTTCATTCTGAAGGAAAAAATGTCAAGAATACAACACAGTGCTGGCTATACTAATATTTGGGGCAGGAATTTTTTTCTCTCTCTCTTATGAGCGAATCTAATAATCCACTTACCTTTTAGGCAATCCACTGATTTACATGCCACCTGATCCCTATGATTAGCAGTGCACCTCTAAACCTCATCTTGTCTACTTTCTTAGGAATTAAAAATGTCTATGTTTACTTATGTACTCAGTGAGCGCAACCTGCCCTTCTCAGGGAAGCTTCTAACCTCATTAGAAGATAAGTAGTAAAATTAGGAAGCTATTTAAAACTCTTTGATCTGAAAGTGGAGCTTTTTAACCTGAGTTATGGCAATAATATCGCTGCCTTTGGAGGAACTTCTGTGCTTTGAAATAGTTCTGGAATGACACAACTACCGTATGTGGTCATTTCTCACACCCATTGTCTACAGCTCAGCTTCCTTTGAGATCATGCTATCTCTTAAGTCAAAAACTGATGATTTTAGGCCTGATGACACGTCCAAATTTGTCATAGTTCTGCTGCTTCACGAAGCACGGTGATCATTTCTATGCTCACCGGCTGCTTCTTCATGGGGGGAGAGGGAGACGGGGGAGAGAGAAGGCTCAGCAAGTTAGCACAAGTGAAAGGAAGTGAAGTGGGAATTAATTTTCTGAGCATGATTGGTGTTAGAACAAGCACTGAACAAATGAATTGGTTTGTGGGAAATGGATCTCATAGAGCTCGGCCATATTAAAGTACCAGAAAAAGACTGCTGCTTTCCCCTGCTTTTTAAAAGGCCCCTATTAGAGTTATTGTCAAGTGACAACATGGCTGGCTAGTTAGACAGAATGTGTTTTTTGTGGCTATCTTAAAAAACATTTGCTAAAGTAACTCTGTCTCCAGTGATTGAATTGGGAACTTAAGGCCTGTTTTGAAATCATATGCCTATCCAAGGACAGGACTATAGATATCAACAAAGAGCACAACGGGTGCAGTCAGCTATTTTTTAGAGCTGATGAAATAATGGTACAAGGTTCTTGTTTTCAAAGAAGACTAGAACTAGCCAACACATGTGCAGAACTTCTGGGCATTTGGCTTGGTGTGGACTGAAGGATACATGTCTCTGTCCCTTCTTATACCATTGAGCTTGCTAAGAGCCATGCTGCATGTGAAGTACTCAGCTCTGCTCAGCAAGGCTGTTTTTTTTCTTTTTTAATAAATTCAGCATGGGAATCTCAGTCCCATATCTGGATCATCAGTATAGGTCCGTGATGGTGAACCTATGGCACACGTGCCGGAAGTGGCATGCAGAGCCATTTCTGCCAGCATGTGAGCCGTCGCCCCAGATCAGGGCCCCTGCACATGCGCCTGCCTCCCTCCAGCCAGCTGATTGTCAGGTATCTGCCACGCATGCGCAGAGGCACGGGGCACACATGGAGGGGTTGCATGCGCATGCACAGGGGGGCAGGGGGAGCATGGGGGGGTCATGCGCACATGCGCAGGGGCACACATTGCATTATGGATGTAGGCACATGCACATGTGCACTTTCAGCACACAATGACGAAAAGGTTGGTCATCACTGGTATAGATGATAAGAACCTCTTTCTGGTGCTTCCAATCCAGGATGAAATCTCCTTGTTTCAGCTATTTTCTTTGTCCCAGAAATAAATTGCACCTCTTTTGGCAATAGGTGTTACTAATTCAAAGGGAGTACAATAGCAATACTTATTTTTTTAATTTTCCTCCCCAAAATGAATTTATTCCTTTCGTTTCTGTATTACAGTTCCTTCCTTTTGGGGTTTGGTGAATTCAGCTTGGAATCTTTGCTCCGTTGGAAAACGGCAATCACCAGTCAATATAGAAACCAGCCATATGATCTTTGATCCCTTCCTTACCCCACTTCGAATAAACACAGGGGGTAGAAAGGTAAGGATGTGCTTGTACTTTTTTTAAAATATATTTTTATTAAATTTCTTTTGTTACATTGTAAAACATCATGGTATCAACAACGTTCTTGGCATCTATACAGGTTTTTAGTTTAAATATCATAATACATTATATTACATTTGTCTACTACTAAATAATAGCTTTAACTATAATTACTATTGTTATATCTTTATATAATTTACAAAATTTTGTTTTACTTTCTTAAGGGTTGTTTCAATTAAAATTTTTGTCTCATTTCTTAGTTCTGTTTGTTAGCCTTTTATACCAATTATTCCAAATTGAAAAGAATTCAGTACTTTCTGTTACTTTGTGTATTATTAGTTCTTCATTAGGGGTATTTGGTGTTTTCCATACTTGTACATGTGCTTGTACTTTTAAGTGTCAACATAATAGGCATGTTTTTAACTTTTCTTTTCTTTTCTTTTCTTTCTTTCTTTCTTTCTTTCTTTCTTTCTTTCTTTCTTTCTTTCTTTCTTTCTTTCTTTCTTTCTTTCTTTCTTTCTTGATATTCATTTCATGTTTGTGCTGTCCTTGTGTTGTTTATATGTGTGTGTATAATTGTTATTAATGATTTTTTAAAAGGAAGATTAAAATGAATATAAAACTAATATTTAGATATATCCTTCTGACACTATTTAAATGGTGCTTCATTTGTCAAAACCACCAAGACATTCATTTTCAACACAGAAGTTCTCTCACCAACAATGACAGTTTTAAATTCTTTCCTTTTAAAATATATATTTTAACTTCATTCCATATCCTAACATAGTTATTTTGAAATAACATACAGTTCATTTTTGTCATAGTGATACCCAGATATTTTATCTTCTTCTCAATCTTAAATCTCTATTCATCAATTCTGTGTGCTCTTCTGTTTTCATATTTTTGTTAGCATCTTTATTCTCTGTTTAATAATTTTGAAACCTGCTCATGCACCAAGTTATTTTCATTTGTCCATTAATATTTTAATTCCCCTTAACAGAAACTTTCAGAACCAAAATCAAGTCAGCTTTAACTCATAAGATTCTTTTTTTTTAATATTTACTTCCACAATCTTCTCATCTTATCTTACATTGCTATTCATTATTTCAAGAATTAGAATAAACAAGAGAGGAATGGGCACTCCTGTCTTGTTTCACTTTGTATCACCCAATGTTCGTTAGATCTCCATTAATAATTATTTGTGATTTCTATAAAGTTAGAATTGATCTTACCATGTAATAAAGTCTCTCCAGAATTCCCATTTTCCAAAACCTTGAATAGGAAAGTCCATTTAAAGATTTTCAAAGACCTTCTCTGCATCTAAGAAAATTAATGGGACTTTGTTTTTTATTACATTGTTCCAAATATTCCAAAATGTCCATACATTTCTAACATGGTGCTTTAACTTTCTTTTTAAGTAAAAAAAAATTCACATTGATTCTCATTAATGAATTCTTGCAAGATTATTTTCAGTCAATCAGCTAGAATCATTGCCAACAAGGTGTAACTATTAATAATATTGGTGAATGGAATGGAATATAATAGAACAGAACAGAACAAAATAGAATAACACAGTTGGAAGGGACCAACCCACTGCTTAAGCAGGAAACCGTATACCACTTCAGACAAATGGTTGTCCAGTCTCTTCTTAAAAACTTCCAGTGTTGGAGCATTCACAACTTCTGGAGGCAAGCTGTTCCACTGATTAATTGTTCTACCTGTCAGGAAATTTCTTCTTGGTTCTAGATAGTTCCTCTCCTTGATTAATTTCCATCCATTGCTTCTTGTCAAAGGTGCTTTGAAGAATAGCTTGACTCCCTCTTCTTTGCAGCAACCCCTTAAATATCAGAACATGGCTATCATGTCACCCCTCATCCTTCTTTTCATTAAACTAGACTTACCCAGTTCCATCAACTGTTCTTTATATGGTTTAGCCTCTAGTCCCCTAATCATCTTTGTTGCTCTTCTCTGCACTCTTTCTAGAATCTCAACATCTTTTTTACATCGTGGTGACCAAAATGGGATGCAGTATTCCAAGTGCTTACCAAGGCATTATACAATGGTATTAACACTTCGACTGATCAGTGTTCATGTATAGTTAGTTTCTTGTTAAAAACCCTTACACTTTTTTCTGTATTAATGCTATATTGGCCGCTTTCCACATCTCTAGTATCTTTCTTCCCAGTGGGATATAGAGTTCATCCTAGAGCTTTGTAAAGGTTGTAAAAGTTCATGGTCAAAACATTTATAATAAAAACATGATAATCCATCCAGTCTAGTTATCTTTTCTAGTTTAATCTTTCACGTACTACCCTCATTGTTATAGATCCATTCATAATCTGTCTCTGTTTTTCTGTAATCTTCAGTAAAGGGATTTATTTCTTTAGATATTCATCTATTTTCTCTAGAAAGATGTCACTTTCTTTATACAAACTGGAATAATATTTTAGCATATAGGTAGTCCTTGACTTACAACCATTCATTTGATCGCCATTCAAAATTACAACGGTAGTGAAAAGAAGTAATTTGTGCTGTTTTTCATCACTGATGCCTGTTGCAGCGTTCCCATGGTCACGTAATCAAAATTCAGGGACTTGGCAACTGGCATGTATTTATGATGGTTACAGAATCCTGGGGTCATGCGATCACCATTTGTAACTTTCCCACTCAGCTTCCAACAAGCAAAGTCAATGGGGGAAGCCAGATTCACTTAACAACTGCATGATTCACTTAACCATTGAGGTGCTTAACAATTGTGACAAAAGATATCGTAAAATGGAACACAACTCACTTAGCAACTTCCTTGCAGAGCAACAGAAATTTTGGGCTCAATTGTGGTTGTATGTCGAGAACTACCTGAATATATAATGTGTGTGTGTGTATCTATATCTATATCTATATCTATATCTATATCTATATCTATATCTATATCTATATCTATATCTATATCTATATATCTATATCTATATCTATATCTATCTATCTATCTATCTATCTATCTATCTATCTATCTATCTATCTATCTATCTATCTACCTATCTATCTATCTATCGTAATGTATATATAATTTTTATGAAAATCTTCAGACCAGAAGATAAAACTAAGAAAGTAGTAGAAATTAAGAGGGGAGGGGGAGAAAGAAATCAAAGGAAAAGATGAAAAAAGGAAAAAAAGTTAAAAGAAAAATGGAAAAGAAAGAAAATATTAAGAAGTGCTTCCACTATTCTTCACAGGAGTTATAAATACGAATGTATTTTAATTTCTTTCTCTAAAGTTACATTATATTATCTTCTTTTTATAATGTATTCTATCTCATTATCAAAACTGTAAATCAAAAATTCAGTTCCATTTTTACACGAAGGGTCCATAAGAGGTTTCCAATCAGCAATAAATATAGATAATGTCTATTCTGTAATCAAATAAGTTAATTTATCCATTTCAGCAAAACCTTTCAATTTCACCTATCATTCCTTTATAGTGAATGGTATTGAATCTTTCCATCTTTATGCATACAGTAATCTTGCTAACATGATCATATATTGAAATAATCTTCCATGGCTTTTTCCTAACTGTTAGAAATTGAATAATATTGATGAACTGCTTTTTGTATGGCTGTCCATTAATATTATATCTCCCTCTTATAATTTCTATATCATTTTCTCTTTTATTTCTTTTTCTAATTTTTATCATAGCCACTTCCTTGGTTTATTTGCAAAGTCAATTTTTTTTTTGCTTTACATAATGCTAATTATTTTCATTTATTATTAACATAGATAATTGTTGTTTTAAAAAAATATTAATTTATTGAGAAATACTTGTCTAGAAATTTCTTTAATTCTTATTTTCCCTATCTCATCCACAATTGCTGGTGTTTTTCTTGACTGTTTTTTTTTTTAAGTTCACTACTAGATTATAAAAAAATAAAGTTTAATAAAGGCCTTACTTACATCGCAAATCATTTTTAAAATCTGTAAAAAATAAAAGGTAAAGGATTTGTCGACAACTATAGGGGGCAGTGCTCATCTCCACTTCAAAGCCATAGAGCCAGCCCTCTCCAAAGATATTTCCATGGTCATATGACTAGCATGATATTTACTTCCCACCAAAGTGGTACCTATTTATCTACTTGCATTTTCATGCTTTTGGACTGCTAGGTTGGCAGGCATTGGGGAGAAGATGGGAGCTCGGATCTGGAACCTGTACTGTCGGCTTTCCAGCTGACAGCCCAGTGTTTTAACCACTGAGCTGCCACGCTGCCCCTTTTAAAACAGTACCTTTACTTAAATCATTTTTAAAAAGCTCCTTTAATTTCTGTTTACAGTTCTTCTCTATTGTTTTCTTTCCGTAGCAATATTTTTTAATCTCTTTTACTTATCCTTTTACTCTTACTTTTCTTTTTCTAAACCAAAGCTCACAGGTTAGTGATCTTAAAAAGTGTACTGTATTATCTCTACTTAAGAAATCTAAGTAGCCAAGTTATTTGAAATACAAATCATGTCTATCATAGAACAAGATACACAAAAAATTCCACTTGAAAATGATATAAATGAAGCCCTAGATAAGAACCTGTCCATGCTGGTTAGACAGTATATAGTTAGTTTAGGAATGAGAGCTGCCCCCTTAAGGGAATGCTTAATGGGAAATGTAGTTAATACCTCATGGGAGATGTAGTTTATGTCATGTGGTCACATCTGTAATCCTGACTGGTTACTGACTTGATCTCTGGTTGGACTGGGGGAGTTTTGGGGCATTCTTACCTGGATCCCAGCATCGTGCTGGAGTTTTCCTTTGCTATAATGCTATGGGATGAAGAGCACCATCTTTTCACATTATTGAGGCAACTATTGAGGCAAAGGTTGGACATTAGATGAATCTCAACATAACAGTGAGTTATACTTTGAGGATGCCTAATAAAATCCAATAAGCTAACTTTGCATGGCAGCCTTTGTAGTGTTGAACTGCTTGTCCTGAGCTGTTCCAGGAGTTTAGGGACATGA